CCTTCACAAGTTTCTTGTACACAAGAGGCTCTCTGCCTCCACTGAACCAGCAAGCTGAGGCCCAGAGAGTCTGGGCCTTGTTCAAAGTCCTAGTCAGTCTCAGGTCAACACTAGACAGAGTTCAGGCTGGAGCTTTTTGTTTAGCAGTGCCTAACTGCATATAGCTGAATCTAGTCACACCCCAAAGCCTTTCTCAAAGAGGCTTCACTACTACCACCACTATCACCACCAATTCCTCAGTAGGTCTACTTTTCCCTGCCCTATGTCCTGATGGGCACAAACCTACCTATTGACAGGACAATAAGTAAGGGACTTTCCCCTGTCCCCTTTTGTCCTCCTGCAGAGTCCAATCCCAACCAATCCTGGATGGCCTTGGAGGTCGAATGGGCTGAGTCAGTGCTTCACCTCCCAACTACAGCTAAGGGTCTAGAAGTTAGAGCAAAAAAGCAGCTGTACCCACCCACACATGTATGGTTGCCTTCTTTCAGAGCCCCAGTACCCAAGAGTAATCATGCAGTCAGCAAATGTCAGGCACCCCCTAACCAGATTCCTTATTCACCATTCCTGGGACTCACTCAGTAAACCTTGCCAAACTTGAGCCAGGCTCAGAGTGTGCAGACACAAGCTATTCCATAACAACACAGACAACTCTAGAAGGAGGCACAAAAAAAAATCACAATCCTCAAGCTGGCCCAAGATGCTGCAACAGCTGGGGGAGAGGGGAAGGTTGCTGAGGGGCAGGAAGATGGGACCAGAGGAGAGCTGGCTTGTTATTGTTAGGGGTGTGGACATTTGCTATGAGTGAAAAACAGGACATAGAAGGAGCACTGCAGGCAGAGGGACAGTGGAGCAAAGGCAGGGAACCCCGCAGGGAATGGGGAGAAGCATGACAAGGCCCGGGCAGCCAAGCGTGCAGGGCAGAGGAGGTGGGGACAGACTTCCCTCCAGCAGGCATCTCCCTGCCACGGCAGGAGGGGCTCCCATTAGATCCCATCACAGAAGACAGGCAGCCGGGATCAAGACAGTTGACCTTGTCCTCCCCACTCCCCTGTGCTGCTCTGAGCACAGCATGGTTGGCACAGCACAGTCTCACCCTCTCTGGAGATGGCTTCTATTCAGGCTGAAAACCATGGGATGATGGAGTCATCATGAGCATCCCTTCTCTCGGGCTCCACCTAGCCAAAGTGTGATTACACACATTGTAGATGTCTCTGAATTCCTCCTCTCTTGCTTATATCCCTAAGTATCCCCATCCTTGAGGCCTTGGCCTCTCTCTTCTGGCTGCCTGATCCTCCTTACCTCTACTCCAAGATTCTCAGAGCATGCTCCATGATGTAACCCACATCAATCTGATGCTGGCTCTCCCTGGTAGGCCCTGGCAGGTGTCTAGCACTACCACAAGGATCAGCTCCTCCCTCTCCCCACTACACCCCCCACCACAACTTTTCCTTCCTGGACACATACGGCTCAATTACTTTCTGTTCCCTAATATAAGATACTGAAATACACAGGTGGACTGCTCTTAACACTCCTCACCCAGAGGATATGGGGCTAACTCTCAGCTTTCCCTGGGCTTGGAAATGATCACCCAGGGTGGTCTGGGTGTGTCAGTGCATGTCTGTTCCTCCACCAGCCTGGGAGGGAAGAACCAGATCTAATATATATGTGATCTCAGAGAAGATACCAAGAAGTGTTTGTTAATTGAATAAATAACCAGTGCATCTCAGACAAGACCACTGGATATGGAAGCAGGAGAGTAAGAGGGGGACAGCAGGCTGTGGGTATGAGCAGTGTGGGCAGAGCAAAAGCTGTGCCTTTGGCCCTTTGATTTGAATAAACAAATGTCTCTTCTTGGAGCCCCATCTGTAAGATGGAGGGGATCAATTAAAATCATAACAGCCTTCAACAAAAAGGCAAGCGGAACAGCTGACTACCATAATCTGCTCCTTCATTGTCTCTGGCTAGGAAGTTCCTCTGAGCCTCTGACCCAAATCCTTCCTGCTACAAGGCAGCTGGTTTTGACACTGAACTGCCCCTGTAGACACGCAGACTTCAGGGAGCCCTGTGGGGACTGCTTCAGAACAGTCTTCTGTCCTACCAAGTCCTTAATTGGCAGTCACAGACAACAACCAATTAATTATCCCCAGTTATAAAAAGCCTTGCTTCCCTTCTTTGCTGTCAAGTGAGGCAGCCCCCTGCAGCCTGGCTCCTCCAGGCCCCCAAGCCAAGGCAAGAGAGGCCATCCCACCTCTCTGCTGCCCAGTTTCCTGTTTGTAGACTCTGTGCTCTGAGGCAGGAAGGGAGGAAGCAGCGCAGCCTGGATGGGGGGACTTCTCCTGAGCTTTCTGCCCCCCTCCTCATCCCAAGTCTTCTTGAGTACTCAGGCTAGATTTGGACCAGAGAGCCACTAGGGGACCCAAGCCTGGCATCTGAGGACACTCCTTGCCTTGTCCTATCTCCCTCTCTCCATCACTCAGCTTCCCTCCTCCCTTCCCGCGCCAGCGAGTTCTTATTTAGACACAGACATCCTCAAGACCCACGTGGTTTCCCCCAGCCTCATCTTCCTGAGGCTCCTGCTACAGGTCTGCTATGACTTCCCATGTGGAGCCTTCTTGCCTGGATTGCTCCATCTGTGAAGTGTGCCCACAATTAATCACGACCCACAGGGTACTGTAGCAATTAGTTGAGCAAACCATGCAAACCACTGTAGCCTGCACTCAGTAGGGACTCAACAAATGTTCACTTTCACCATTATTCTCATACTTGCCGAGGAGGAGGAGGAGGAGGAGGACTGGGTGACTTACCTGCCTGTCTGTCACCCCACTTCACTGGTGAGGCTCAGAGAGATTAGCTTCTGAGTCTGGGGGTGCAGGAGGAAGGGAAGGCGGGAATGAGGAGAGGCACTGGGTCCTTGATTGCCCCTCCTCTTGCAAGGGCCTCTTGTTTTGGGGCAGTTTTCTCCCTACCAGCAGCCCCAGAGTTCAGCGTGGCCACTGCCAATCCAGAAAAATTTATGGCACCCCCTGCTGTGCGCCAGGCTTGTCTCTGAGACACCAGATCACTGTTCCTGTCACTGTGCCTGGCCAGAGAGCCTAGCCACAGCCCCTCACTGTCTTGGCCCAGCTCTTACATAGGGGACAGGAGAGAAGAGGGAAGAAGAGAGAAAAGATGTTTGTGCAAGTAGGGGAGGGGCAGGATGAGCTGAGCGACTGCCGAGGGGGGAGCTGGGGAGGCTCCTTCTCAGCTGCTAGTCTCGGGTCACTTGAGGTGAGCTCAGCCCCTTCCACAGAAGGCTGCCACCTTCCTCCTCTCCAAGCCAGCCTGGCTTGTGGCCTCCTGATGTTCCTTCAACACTGGCCCCATAGCTGGTGCCACAGACCCTGGAATCCCATAGGGTGCACCACCCCAGCTCCTAGCCATGGCTTTGCCAATTCAATTCTTCCACCAAGAACCTTGTGCTGCTCTGCTTTTCCTGACTCCATGGCATAGGAAAGGCAGGCCTGGGACCATTGAAAGCTGTGGGGCATTCTGGGAGATTCATCTTCCTCCAGTGTCTGTCCTGATGGCCAAGAGGCTTTCTGCTGGTGAGCTCTGTCCTTCTATTACCTTCCTCCTGTTCCTGCTGTCTTCCTACCCCTGAGGCCCCCCACCCCCAGCTACTGAACCCCTTGGGGCCAGATCCAGGCTCAGCCCATTCCAGCTGTGTGACCTTGATCTAGGCACTACCTTCTCAGGCTTCTGTTTTCCCATGTCCTACTGAGAACAGGACCAGAGAGTCAGCATAGCACCAGCTCCCAGCAAGCATAAGATGGGGGTCTAAAGCTCAGGTCAGAACAGGGTGTGGAGCTAAGTCAAAGGCCACAGAATGCTGGTCTTCAACCCAGCCTTCTCCCATGTCAGTGATAAAGAAGACAGGGCTTGAGCATTTCACTGCTAGCACTGTGCCTGTCTCATGCCAGCTCAGGAGAGGGCTGTGTTTTCTCCTCAAGTGCCCAGATAAGGCAGCTCATGGGAAACTGAGTACCAGAGGAAGAGGTGCCACTGCACATCAGCCCATCTCAGAGGGAAAAGCCACAACACGTACATGGTGCTCATAAGGTGTCTTGGGAGACCAGTCCAGGCTGGAGCCAGGGTGTAAGACTGCAGTCCCCTGTGTCAGCACTGCCAGGGGTTTCTCTGTGTCCCTGGTCAGGCCACTTCCTCTCTCATGCCTCAGTTTGACTATATGGCTTCCTCCATGTTGGAATCAGGACAGTATCCACTCTGGAGTTCACTACGTCTCACCATCTGGGTCATGAGTCTAGACTTGTGACCCAGTGTAGTGCTCTGGACAGACAGGTGGACAAGCCTCTGACCTCCCCTTGACCACTCCAGCCTGTTTGGGGCTGGCTGAACTGGAGTCTGGCTTCTTTGTTCAGACAAGCAGGAGGGAGGAGGGAAGTTGTTCTCCAGGCAGCAAAGCTTTTAGATAAACACCACTGGAGAATTGGATTCCTTCAGAAAAGAAACTAGATCCACTGGCTGATAGCGCCCAGGGGAAGGGAGTGTGGATCGGGAATGGTTGGGGAGCCCAGCACTGAGGAGGCCTTCTTTATCCAGCTTAGTTTCTATTGCCAGCTCTGGCAGGCTGGTGGCTCAGGTGACTGGGCCCCTCGTGCCAGGCCTTGACCCTGCCAGCTCCCAGGCTCCAAGATGGCCAGGGCCTACCTCCTCACCCTCCTGCTGGCACTTGACTGCCCGTTAACCTTCCAGCTCTGCCAGGAAGCTGAGAACTTCTTTCTTCCGGTCATCCTTCCTGCCCAGGCCTCTGTCAGCATCTCCTCTAACAACTCCCCACATCCTTGGCAGAATGAGCTCCTTCCTTGCCCACTTGGCCCAGGGCAACCCAGGAGTTACCATGGACCCATTTTATAGAGGGAAGGGCTATTATCTGTCCAGAGCCACCCAATCTCCCTGGGCCACTGGCTGTGGCTCATGGGGTCCATCCAGGGGTAGCTCACCGGTGTGGTGTCATCATGGGAACGCTGGTAGCGCTTCCAGCGGCAGCCGTAGATGCCTGTGAGGCAGGAGAGGCACAGCTGGGGCTCATAGTACTGCAGTGGCTGGTGTCTCACCATGCTCGTGCCCGTGGCCCTGGCACCAGGCCCTCAAGCGCCCATGGAGGCCCCTGGCTGGTCCTGCAGAGAGAAACACAGGGCTGTGAGGAGTCAGGCCCACCACTCCAAAAGTTATCGGAGCCTAGGTCAGTGTGGATTACCTTCTGCTCAAAGCCTCTAAGCAGGTCCTTTTACCAGAGTGAAGACCTATCCCCTGCTACTCACCCAGGACTTCATCCTCCTTTGTCTTACTCCTCCAGTCACACTGATCTCATAGACATGGCCCTGCATGCTGCTATTTTCTCTGTCTGAAATGCTCTTCCCTTAGAAACCTGCATGGCTCACTCTCTTCAGTCTTGGCTCAAATGTCCTTTTTTTCAATTAGCCTCTTTCTGTGTTGAGACAGGGTCTCACTACTTAGCTCAGCCTGGCTTTGAACTCACAGTGTTCCTGACTCAGCTTCCCAGGTGCTTGGATTATAGGGATACAACAATGAGATTTCTCAGATGATCATGCGTACAACTGGGACTCCTTTCCACTTTCCCCAAGTGCCTTCCCACATTCTCAGTTTGATTTTCTCAGTCATGTTCTTAAATATAATTCAAGCTTATTTTGTCTGCATACACCATTCTAAGTTTTCTGAAGACAAGGATTTTGTCTGTTTTATTCTTTGTTGTACCCTTCATAACCGGAACAGAGCCTAGCAATAGTAGACTTTCACAATAAACATTGTGTGTGTGCATGTACATGTGCATGTGAATGTGTGTGTGCATGTGCATGTGTGCTGGTACTGGAGCTTGAACTCAGGGTCTCATGATTTCACTTGGCTTTTTATATTCAAGGCTAGTGCTCTACTACTTGAACCACTACCTCCACCTGAGACATTTTGCTGGTTAATTGGAGATAAAAGTCTCAAGACTTTTCTTCCTAGGCTGGTTTCAAACCTCAATTTTCAGATCTCAGCCTCCTAAGTAGCTAGGCCAAAACAAACATTTAAAAATGCTTTATCCAAAACTGAAAGAGGGAAAGGGAAGGGGTGACACTGTCTAAAAAGAAATGTACTCTTTACCTGACCTATATTACTGTAACCCCTCTGTACATCACCTTTATAATAACAATAAAAAGATGCTAAATACTTTATCCTAAAAGGTGGCATGGACCGAGCACTTAAACACAGCAAGCATCATGTGGATATTTTACACCCCTGTTCCACATCGCTGTCACACCTACCTAAAGTGGCAGGTCAAGTGAGTCTTAAAACAAACTGAGGCTGAGAGAGAGAGAGAGAAAGGAGCAGGGTGTGGGGTGGGCAGGAGCTTCCTAAGTGCCAAACAGGAAGCACTTGGGCTCTGCAGGTCTCTGTGGCAAACACCCAACTCTCAGCTATAGTCATAACAGCCATAGACAATCCATAAATGCGTGTGGCTGTGTCCAATAAAGTTTTATTTATGGACATTGAAATTTGACTCGCATATAATTTCCATATGTCATAAGATACTCTTGTTTTGATTTTGTTCCCCAAATGTTTAAAAATATAAAAAACCTTCTTAGCTTTCAAGCTGGACAAAAATAGGCACCAGGTCAAATTTGGTGAGACCATGCTTTTCAGTTCGCCAAGCCCTTGGTTAGAGGGAGGTCCCTGGAGTCAGATTTCCTGGGTGTGAATTCTGGCTGTGCTGTGTGACCTTTGGTAAGTAGCTAAGTCTTTCTGTGTCTCAGGTTTCTCATAAAATAGGACTAGTGATGACAATGTATTAGGAATGGAAAACGGTACCACCACTTTGGGAACTAGTTTGGCACTTCCTTAAAATGTCAAATGTAAAGGTTATCATATGACCCAGCAACTCTACCCCAGGAGAAGTGAAAATGTATCCACTCCACCTCACAATGCATTCATAGCAGTGATTCATAGCAATCCAAAATATCTATCAGCTGAGGGCTATCATCCCATGGAATATTACTCAACTATAAAAAGAAATGAAATATTAACATATGCTACAGAACACATGAACCTTGAAAACATTATGCTAAGGGAAAGAAGCAAATTCCATGAGGTAATCTCTAAAACAGGCAAACACATGGAGACAGAGTGGTTTAATGGTTGTCAATGGTAATCAGGAATTGCCAGGATTGTTAAGGGATAGACTGAGGTAAATGGGGATGTGACTGTCAGTGGGTATGTGGGGCAGGGGCTGTTAGGATGATGGAAATGTGGAATTCAATAGTGGTAACTAGGAATTAGGTGAAAACTGTGTGAATATACTACAAGATGAACATAGCAAACATGAATCTGCACACTGGAAATATTTGCATTTTATGCCATGTGATTTTTTTTTTTGCCAGCTGTGGTACTATGCCATGTGGTTCTTATCCCAACTGAAAAGTAATGGTACCACTTCCTTCCCAGAGAAGAGCAAGAATGAAAGCAAGAATGACTGGAAAGCACTTGGAGTGGTGTCTAGCTGGTACAGGGAGGCCATTGTGTCTGTCCTGTTCCCACTGTCTCAGGACGCAGGACAGGTTCAAAACATAGAGCTTTGAGTTCCGGATGTGTATAGACTGGGATGTGGAGTTGGGGCCTGATCCCTCATCGTCCTCACAACAGTGCTGAGGTGATGCATGACTCCAGGTAGAAGGTATTCACAGCCAGTTTCTTCTGGTCATACCTGCCTAGCATCGCCCCATGGCATGTCAACTCTCTTAGAGGCATCCCAGGTTGCCAAGCAGGAGTTGGATCTTCAAGATGTCCCGGTTTGCTCCATCAGGCTCCCACAGGCCCCAACATGTGAAGAGTTCCTGGAGGTCCCTGGAGAAGGAACACTGTATGCCCATAGGCCAGGCAGGGAGTGGGGATGCTGTCCCCAGTGCAGCTTGTGAAGTAAGGACTGGAAGAGAAGAGACTATATGCATGTGTATGCGTATATGTGCGTGTGTGCATGTATGTGTGCGTGTATATGTGTGTGTGTGAGAGAGAGAGAGAGAGAGAATGCTGTCAGCTTCACTTTGTTCTACTCAGTGTGTGCACTGCTGACAGCGCCCCCCCCCCCCACCTACACCGTGGTTATCCTCATGTCCCCTGAAGCCAGCACAGGGCAACGGAAAGAGAAGGTACTAGAGGCTTCCTGGAGTGGGCTTCAGAGGAGGACCCAGGAATTCTTGCTAACAGACATGTGGCTCAGGTACTGGGCACTTGACACTCAGATAAGCCTCAGAGAGCAGCTTCTTCCACTCACCCCCAGCCCGTCACCACCCCTCCCTTTCTAGCCAGGCTAATGGTATTACTTGCACCAATTGATTTCTCCCAAGCTACCTCCCAGGGTTGCTGAAGCAGCCAAGTTCCTGAGAAATCCCCTGCAGAGAGCCCCGGGACAAGAGAAAGCTGCTATCCAGCCCCAAGTCCAGTTTTCTGTCTGAGTGCTTAGCCTCTGCCCTGCATTCCCACGGCCTCCTGTTTGCACAGGGCCAAGACCTTCCCTGGGTCCATGCCTGAGGTAGAACAAGTACTTGCTATGAAGCACAGGCACGAAGGTGGGGGCCTCTGTCATCCCGCTCTCCTGGAATGCACCTGACCTGTGTCCCTGCTCCTCTTTCCTGCTGAGACTGCCAGCTACCAGGCCCTCCCAGCCCCCCAGGCCATGCTGCCTTCTCTCTTTCCTGAGAGTGGAAAGTTCCTAGCCAGGTGAGAGGGCCTAGGATTCTGCCTTGAATTCCCCAACTGAGTTGTTTTGTGACAGAGCACTAGCTAGCTGTCTTTGAACCTTAATTTATTACATTAAAAAAAAAACCAGGGGGGCTGGATGGGGGTAGTCCACAAAAGTACCCAAGACTGCAATAAAAAGGAATAAAACACTGCTGCGTGCTATGACATCAATAAATCTTGAAAACATTACGCTAAATAAAGGAATTCAATTATAAAAGGCTGTGTATTACATGACTCCATTCCTAAGAAATGTCTAGAATAGGCATAGACAAGAAGTAGATGAAGGACGCCAGAGCTGGGAGGACCAGGGGGAATGGGGATGACTGATCATATGAGTATGGAGTTTCTCTTTGGAGTGATGAAATCTCCTGGAATTATATAGTGATGATGGATATATGACTGAATATTCTAAAAATTGTTGAATTGGAAACTTCAAATAGGAAGATTGTATAGGGTGTGGCTTTTTAATCTCAATAAAATGAACTTTAAAAAAAAATGCCAGCACTGGAAATTAACTAGAGATTGTCTGCTTGGTGTGGAAGTGTTGTAAGAACATGACAATGGCCTGGGGTCCTTGGTTATACCTGGGTCCCTTTCAGTCCTACCCAAGCTGGGGTCTCTGGGAACGGCTCCATTTCTTTCCAAAAATCTGTTGTGCTCAAAACTAACCTGAGTTCTTTTTCTCATTTGCAAGTAAAATCCTTGTCTAGCCCAAGACAACCACTGTGTTCCTGGTGCTTAGTGGTTTCTACAAACGCTATTGTTGTATTCCCAGAAGTGTTGAAGCCAATATATGCGTGCTATTACCATGAGTTGTCAAGATGGTCACTGGTACCCCGGGCCGTAGGGCTTGCTGGTTGCCACACTGAGTGCTGCACTGTAGAACGCCTGACAATGCCCTATCCAATGGAGGCCCGCAGCCTTACTCCACACATTAAAGCTAAGGGGTTGAGTGAATGTGCAGCCACACAGTGAATGTTGTTCTATAATAAGAAGAATTGAGCCAGCAAGCCACAAAAACTCACAGGAAACTTGGAAGAATATTGCTAATAGTGACAGAAGCCAATCTGAAAAGGCCACATACTGTGTGATTCTATCTATATGACATTCTAGAAAAGGCAACATTGTGGAGGCAGCAAAAAGATCAGTGGCTGTAGGGGCTTAGGGAGTGGGAGAGAGAATGAGGCAGAGCACAAGCTGGGGGTAGGAATGGGGCAGTTACCTAGTCTGTACATCCCAGTAATGCCACATGCTTTCATTACATACTAGTCAAGCCGGGTGTGGTGGCGCATGCTTGTAGACCCAGCTAATCACGAGATGGAGATCAAAAGGATTGCTGTTCTAGGCTAACCTGGGCAAAATATTAGTGAAACCTCATTTG